GTGACTTGCTTCCTGGTGATGATGCCCAAGCCTAGCAGCTAATCCATGTCTATGGAGGAGCAAGAAGCTATGGTGGAGCACAAGTAAGCAAAGTATCCTTTTGGCTAAGATCAAGTGTAGTATCTGTTCTTATCAGTGTCCAGCAGGGGTTCTCCACGGTCATTCTAACTTTGCGGGGATGACTGGTTGTATAGTACCCCTGCTGGTATGATGGGGGTCCTGATGGTTAATACGGGGGGAACAGAAACCGTGGTGCCCATTGGAGTTGGGGCCCGGGAGTAATTCCCCTTTGGAACGCCAGAGGGGCCCAGTACCTCCTGATTTGGGTGGATCTACCTTGTCTGGCCAGGGGCCGGGAAGGCAGAAAGTCCACAAACCAGTGCCCCCTGAGTGGTCGCCTCAGGGGGGCTCTTAGTAACACCTGGGTGTTGGACCCCACAGTGTGAAAAGGCACATGGCCACTGTGTTTACCACTTTTTCTGCACAGCACCCTCAGGACCAGGCCTTCTGGCTAAGTTCGGGGCAATTTTTGCTACAGGCCTCAGGGCCTGGTTGTGCACAATTTAGCATGACCACTTTTTTTTTTATTTATTTAATTTATTTACTCTCCCACGTTTTGTCACTTTCACTCTTATGTGTGTGTGTTTTATTTCCTCACAGGATGGAGGGTGTGGGTCCTCGGGCCTGCCCTGAAGTCTAGGGGGAGGATGTGTGGCTTTTGGTTCCTTCCTCCCCTGTCCCTAGGGGGTTTTCTCTCCAGGAGAGCCCCCTGGTCAAGTACTGTGTGGCTGGCTTCGGCTGGCCACAAGGAATGGTGGTCCGCCAGGCCTTTTGGCTAGGTGGACCAAATGGGAACCTTATCCCTATCAGGAGCTTCGTGCCCCGGGGGATCAGGGTAGAGGTCCATCCCCTTCGGGGGAAGACAAAGCACACCCCTAAGTGCACTTTTTTTCGTGTGGTGTTTTACACTTGCACTTTTTTTGTGATTCACGTACAGGTTTTTTCGTTATTCGCACGTTTGCGGACTTAAAAAGAAAAAAAAAACAAGTAAGCAAAGTATATAGAGGTGAAGGGGTACCCTTTCGACAGACGTCACTTTGTCCCTGTGGGTAAGGTGATAGTGTCTCCTCAAAAAAAAGCCTGTCCTAGCTTAGCAAGTGGAAAAAAAATTCCTCAGTTATTAGATTGCAAAGGGAGATTCATATATTCAGCTCCATCTCATCTGCTCTGTGCAGTGCATGTTGTTAATAAATATGAGGGGTGGCTAAAAAAAACAGGACTTTTCACTACACACTGGAGTTCATCAGCTGTTCTTCAAAAACAAGCAAAGCAGGCCAACATATTTGGAGGCTTGCTGTGTCTTCTTCTCATCTCTTTCAGCATTTCTTATCTTCCTGATCTCATAAAGACAAGTAGCATTTGTTCAACCTCAAGTTGCAAATCGATTGGCAGTTGATGAGAAATCATGTGACCTTTCCATTCTTTGCATTCTTTGCATCTGCATGCAGAGCCGGATTATCAGGCAAACTAGGTAGGAGCCCAGGACCTGGTGGATGTTCAGGGGGTTCAGCTACAACTTTCATGTTCCTGCAGTACAGTTGGTCAAAGTTGTGCACCTGCCTGTCACTATGTAAGGACGATGGACCTGTAAGCAGTAGGTTTCTGATAGGGCGGGGTATGCTATAACAGAAATGGTCAAAATGCACATGTGCTGGTGAAGCTCATTAAGACTATGTGAACTGCAGCAGCACAGGTCCCATTTCAGAAGTTTTCATACTTATTTTTCTATAGGAAGCGTTTCCATTTTTTTAAAATCCAAACCCTAATGAAGGGGGATTGTTCAGCCCCTGAAACGTGTTGGCTATCTTGTATCTTCTTGATGTCTCAATTTTAACAACAGTAAATGATGGTGGACTCTCAAGAAGACCAGCTTGTGATCTTTTCGTCTATTTCCAATTGAAGTAATTGGGCAGTCATTGCTTCTACTTTGCATTGGGTTCTCATAGGGATCACGTTTTAGAGGGTGTTTGACAGGCGTTGAGGAGGTGTTATGTCATATCCTTGCTGTCTGTTGTAACCAGGGGCGGACTGACCATTTGGAAACGCGGGCACTGCCTGAGGGCCGGGGTCAGTAGGGGGCCCCATGAGATGTCCCTGGTACCTTTTTCATAGGCTTTTTTGAGTTTGGGCAAGGACACAGGGACCCCATGATCCCCTATTGCCCGGGGGCCCCATGACTTGTCAGTCCGCCCCTGGGGCAGTCCATTCACTTGAATGGGCTGCACTACATACAATAATCGCCCCAGAGAGATGCCCCTGGTACCTTTTTCATAGGCTTTTTTGAGTTTCAGCAAGGACACAGGGGCCCCATGATCCCCTATTGGCCGAGGGCCCCATGAGTTGTCAGTCCGCCCCTGGTTGTAACCCTTAAAAACCTGCACTACTGTACTGGAACTGCATGCATTGCCATTGCGTGGCCCCATTAAGTACCAAATGTGACAGAGGAAATAATTTTTGCTGTGCTTCATAAACGCGGAATGTGTATATCCCTGTATGGCTGCCTTTGCAGCTTAAGGGGAGCGGTTGGGGGGTGGGTGGTAAAAATGCTCCCCAACTGCAAGTGTAAACTAGGCCTCAGGTCTTGTTTAGATGTACCTTGGCACCTGTACTGCTTGCAGGCAGTTTTTGTGCCTGCTTCTGTCCCAAGCTGTGTGCAGGCAGCCTACGGAGGTGCAGATGGATGTAGATGCGGCAGCTGCATGGACACAGCCGCATGTCAAAATTTTGCAACTGTGCAGAAGCGGCTCCATGTCCTTAACTCAGGCAGTGTGCATTTGGGGCATTGCAGCTGCTCCTTCACGGCTGTTTGCATTCGCTTCTATAGGCTACCTATACACAGCTCGGGGTGAATACAGACACCAAAGCAAAAGCAGCCTGAATGCAATATGGGTGCCAGAGCCTGTCGGAAGGAGACTTCAGTGAACTGTACTTGTTATTGAGTTTGCTTTTTGAATTATATTTCCTACTGTAGCAAACCCAGGGATTTCAGCACCTGGCTATTTGAATGAATCCATTTCTCCGTTTGGAAAGATTTGTTTAGTATTCAAGACTTCTAGAGGGAACACATGTGAATTCCATTTCTGCACTTGTGTTCAAACTGTGATAAATTAATACAATTTTAGCTTCTATTTTAACACATTCTAGTGGAGGAGCGCCACCTACAGGATCTAGCATAATATTGCATCTTCACAGCATCTGAAAGGCCCCTTTCACACAGGCGTTCCGTTATTTCACCAGTTCACTCACGTTTTTTCAAAGAAAAAAACAGATCATATTACATCCATTTCTCATCAGTTTTTACATCCTTTACTAATGCAAAAATGGATCACATGTCTGTTTACATCCGTTTTTTTGCTCGTTCCATTTTTTTTTAATGGAAGAATAATAGGGCTTCCTTTCATTCACAAAAAGGATGTTAAGGGATGCAGACATTAAAGGATGCAAACAGATGATCATCCGCTTACATCCGCTAGTCCAGGGGTCTCCAAACTTCCAAAACAAAGAGCCAGTTTATTGTCCTGCAGACTTTATCAGGGCTGGACTGTGGCCAGAGGGAGCGGAAAATTTCCTGGCATCAGCGGGAGTAAACATCGCCACATTTGGTATTAGTAAGAGGATTAGTGCCCCATCATTGGTATCTTTGGGGGGAGTAGTATACCATTTTTGGTGTCAGTGGGAGAAATGGGGCCCCATTGTTAATGTTAGTTGGAAGAAAAGTGTCTTATATCAGTGGGAGGAATATTTCCCCCAAGGCTAGATAAAGGAAAGAAAAGGGCCATATCTGGCCCTGAGCCACAGTTTGGAGACCACTGTGTAACGGAACTGACCCAGACTGCGCTTGAGTACTTCCGTTAGAATACTGCTTCCCCGTCCGAACACCGACAACAGACACCACAGCCGACCATACAAGACTAGATGACACCAGTCTGTCTGAACATGGAACTCTTTATTTTAAACTCAAACGGGCTTTTTATACAATACACACTGAGTCTGATCACATGATCATATGCAACTGCAGCTACATACAGAAAAAGACTTAACACTCTAAACAGTAAGTTAATTAGGTTAGCTAGCTGGGTGACCAAAACAAAAGGTGAATGGGAATTCACACCTAGACAATGGTTTGATGAATTAGGATCTCCTACACTGGAGTAGAGGAGAGGCCAGCGTGATCAGCTCTTTCAATTCACATGTCTAGTTCAGAATCAACAACCAGGAATAGTCTTCATTTGGCTGATATATTTTACTGTTCCATCAGAAGTAATTCCAACCGCATTCTCAGCGTCCATTAGTCACCCTGTGCCCCTAAGAGACACAGGGTGACTTGCACATAAGAGGGATATGGGGAGCTGAGACAGGGGTCTACCAACCTCTGCAAAGTAAGCTGGGTTCCATGAGCCCCCCACCCAAAGTGACTGTGCTAGTCCATAGTAATACATGGGTGTCCGTTTTTCATCTATAAACGGATGGATGAACAACAGACTTATGGAACGCCCCTGTGAAAGGATCCATAGTTGTAAATGTAGAACTTCCATCTAGAGGGCTGGAGAACAATTGCATGCAATAAAGTGTGCTGTATTTTTAAAACAATTACTGTTTTTGACATTCCATGACATCTATTCTACGCATACATACAGTTCTGCATTTAAGTATTGAAATGTGTGATTTTGAGAAATGTGCAAGCCAGTAAATGTTGTTTTGTGAGTGTTTGTGGAAATTACACCACATGGAAACCATGCTTACTAAGAGTAATCCTAACTAAGCCAGGCCAAACATAAAGTACAACTCTGGGTGCTATGCCTACAGCTGGTCACCTAATACCGAAACAGAGGATTTAGGTGGAGGTGATTATTAATACGATGGTACTCATAAATTACAATTTATCCAGCAGAAGATGTCACTGCTTCTTATGATGGAAATATTCTAAATGTTTCCTACAGGGAGAAGGACGGGGTAGAGTTGACCAGAGAAGAAACCTTTAAATATCGCTTTAAGAAAGATGGAAAGAAGCATTACCTTTTTATTAATGAGAGCACACTGGAGGACAGCGGCCACTACACCGTCAAGACCAATGGAGGAGAGTCAGTGGCTGAGCTGATGGTGCAAGTGGTGAGTGTCAGAGGTTGAGGTTCTGGCTGAGTGTCATGATCAGTGATGGTAGGCGACTATTACAAGACATGATAGATATAGAGGGACAATGGGGCAGGGAAGACTGCACAAGATGGTTTGCAGGTAGCTAGTTTTTGCTATAATTAAACTCTGTGTAAGAGGGTACAATCACACTACAGCAAAACCGCCATGATTGGATTTCGTCAGATTCACTTTCAAGTGAACCTGTGATCAGGTTGTGGACATTCAAAGGTTTACAGGTAATAAATAAACTTTAAAACAAACCCACGCCATGCATTGTCCATTATTGTTCCCTGGGATAACACATGGTGAAATGCATGTTACAACAACACAATGGTGTGAAGGGGCCTGTAGTGAACAGATAACTGCTTTATTACTCTGCCCAGTGCAGGAAAATATTGACTAAATAGCTATGTTGCACGCTGGAGACAAGTGAGAAATCCCTATGTAGGGCCAGCGATCACCCATGAGCCTGGCAAGTATCCAATAAAGCATCATCAGTCACACATTTTTTTGCAGTGAAGGTAAATATAAGCGAGAGTAGATGGGAGGGCTGCCAGGTAAATATCAATAGAAATAGGAGGGAGGGCTACCAGGTAAATATCAAGAAGGTCAGGAGTGTGGGCTATCAGGTAACTAGCAACAGGAGTAGGAAGGTAACCTACCAGGTAAATATGAGCAGGAGGCAGGGAAACCAAGTAAATATTAGCATGACCTGGAAGGTGGGCAACCGGGTAAATATCAACCGGAGCAGGAGTGTGGGAAACTAGGTAAAGAGCAGGAGCTGGAATATGGGATACCAGGTAATTATCAACAAGAGGAGGAGGGTGGGCTACCAGATAAATATTAGCAGGGTCCGGAAGGTGGGCAACCAGGTAAATATCAGCAGGAGCTTGAAGGATCTGGAAGGTAGGCTACCAGGTAAATATCAGCAGGAGTAGGATGTTGGGCTACCAGATAAATATCAGAAAGAGTAAGAGGGTGGACTACCAGGAAAATATCTACAGAATCTGGAAGATGGGCAACCAGGTAAAGAACAGCAGGAGCTGGAAGGTGGGCTACCAGGTAAAGATCAGCAGGAGTAGGATGTTGGGCTACCAGATAAATATCAGAAAGAGTAAGAGGGTGGACTACCAGGAAAATATCTACAGAATCCGGAAGATGGGCAACCAGGTAAAGAACAGCAGGAGCTGGAAGGTGGGCTACCAGGTAAAGATCAGCAGGAGCTGGAAGGTGGGTTACCTGGTAAAGATCAGCAGGAGTAGGATGTTGGGCTACCAGATAAATATCAGAAAGAGTAAGAGGGTGGACTACCAGGAAAATATCTACAGAATCCGGAAGATGGGCAACCAGGTAAAGAACAGCAGGAGCTGGAAGGTGGGCTACCAGGTAAAGATCAGCAGGAGCAGGAGAGTGGTGAAAACTAGGTAAAGATCAGCAGGAGCTGGAATGTGAACTACCAGGTAAATATCAACAGGAGCAGGAAGGTGGGCTACCAGGTAAATATCAGCAGGGTCCGGAAGATGGGCAACCGGGTAAATATCAGCAAGAGTAGGACAGTGGGCTACCAGATAAATATCAGAGTAAGAGGGTGGACTACCAGGAAAATATCAACAGGATCCAAAAGGTGGGCAACTGTGTAAAGATCAGCAGGAGTTGGAAGGTGGGCTACCAGGTAAATATCAGCAGGAGAAGGAGGGTGGGTTACCAGGTATATATCAACAGGATCCAGAAGGTTGGCTACCAGGTAAATATCAACAGGATCCAAAAGGTTGGTTACCAGGTAAATATCTGCAGGGTCCAGAATGTGGGCAACCAGATAAATGTCAGCAGGAGCAGGAAGGTGGGCTACCGGGTAAATATCAACAGGAGCAGGGGAGTGGGAAAACTAGGTAAATATCAGCAGGAGCTGGAATGTGGGCTACCAGGTAAATATCAACAGGAGCAGGAGGGTGGGCTACCAGGTAAATATATATATATATATATATATATATATATATATATATATATATATATATATCATGTTGAAATGTGTTTTTATTAAAAAATCCAAAAAATATTTTTAAAAATACATTTCACATATACTGTATGTAAAAATCTGAAGAATATATTTTAAAAATATATATATTTTAAAAATGTTTTTTTTAATATATTCTTCGGATTTTTTTAACATATAAAAAAGTCATTTTAACATATATTTTACATATATTTGTAAATGCATTCCAAAAATGTAGATTTGTATTTTTAAAGACATACAGTATATTTGAAATGTATTTTTAAAATATTTTTCATATATTTTGTAATAAACACGCATTTCAACATACAGTTTATTTATTGATTGAAATATATTTCGAAATATATTGAATAAGGCCAAAATTGTAGCATTTCAAATATATGTCAATATATTTGGGAAGAATATTTTTAAAATATATTTCAAATATATTTTTCTTCCATATGGGTAGGGCAGACCATTCACCTAAATGGGCTGCCCTATGAGTGTTTGTCACAGAAAAGAAGCTCAGGGACGAAATTTTGGTCCTGAGCCAGGCAAGATTTCTGCAATTCTTGCTCATTATTTTCATGTGGCAATCTCAGCAAACTTGCACCGCGGTTAGGGTGCCATTCAGGATGAATCGATTCTGCCCATGATTCCTAATTGCCCAAGTTTGCACGGGGCCATATTGTTGGTGTCATATTGCCAGCTCTGCCAGGTTCCATTGGGCACAGAACTATCCAGGTACCATCAGATGAAAGGGAAATCAGCCACAGCTGAAGGAACCTCTAGTAACCTCTGAAGGAACCTTGCTGTTCCATGGAACCCTGGCTGACAGTGGCTGCTATAGAGTGATTGCTCTCATGTGACACTATAGAGGATAAGCTCTTGGGGCACATAGTGATTAACAGTATGAAATGTAAGTTGTTGAAGATCTTTTAATCATCTTGAGCGCTCACAACAATTTTGCTAGTCTGCATTGTCTGACATTGTATGTCTGGTATGGGAAGACTATGTAACCTCCTGTTGTATCTTCATTCCAGCAAAGCAGCTGGAGGTTCTGCAGGATGTGGCCGATCTGACAGTCAAGGCCAAGGAACAGGCCGTCTTCAGGTGTGAGGTGTCTGACGAGACGGTCACTGGAATATGGGTAAAGAATGGAAAAGAAGTGATTCCCAACGACAGGATCAAGATCACCCACATTGGAAGGTTCGATCATAACTCACTGTCTGAACATTGGTCCAGCCAACTATCTTATGGCAGAATTATTAGCAACTTTCTCAAATATGCTTGGAATGTGCAGAGCCGAATCCCAAGCCGTGCGTTACTGCCTGTGTTGATGGGAAAATCAAACAAATTTCTTTCCTCTGGTTAGAGGAAAGAAATTTGCTCCGCGTATGGCCTGCCTCATGATCATAAGATATAATTATTCTTAAGTATTGATTGAAATCCACTTTCCCGTGTGTGACTTATCGATTAAAGTGTTACTAAACCCAGGACCCTGCATTCACTATATCTGGTCTCCCCGGACCCTGCATTCACCTGGTCTCCCCGGACCCTGCATTCACTATATCTGGTCTCCCACAGTACACACAGAACATGGAAATGTAATTAGTTTAGTAAATATAAACTGCTAAATACCTTTTCTCACCAGCAATTGGAGCGGTCTTGTGACTTCTATCAGTGTCCAGCACATGTTAAAGCTTGTAGGAGTAGTTTTCATTCTGTTCTAGGAGGATGCAGAACCCCTGACCTCTGTCTGGACAGTTCTGATTGGCCCTGTGCTCATCACATGTATTCTCCCAAGAAAAAAAAACCTCTCTAGCAATACACACCAAACTTAGCATGTGCAGCTTGCCCCCAAGGCTCTGTTCTATCAGCAATTGGATTGGGAACTGTGGAAGGGGAGGATCAGAGAAGTCAGGATCAAACATTCTTTTTACACACTGTGGAGGATTAGCCCCTTAGTTTCCACAGTGAGTATAAAAAGCATGCTTTACTGCATATACTGACTGTTGTGGGTTTAGTAACACTTTAAATGGGTTAGACCAATTGAAAGAGATGGAAAAGAAATCAATCATTTATCGAAGGGTGTATGACCACCATTAGATTTACCAAAACTTTTTGTAACGTAAGGGTTTGCCTGTGTTGCATTCAATAGAAGCTGACAGTTCTTAGGCTTTATTCACACCTATTCTTTTTCCATTGCTTTTTGCAGAAACACACTACAGTCCATTTAACATGGTTTCCTATGGAACTATGGAACATGTTGGCATCTATGCTTTTTTGAGCTGCTTCATTTTTGGAAAGAGTCAAGGACTTTTTTTAAAAGCAAAAACCAGCATAAACTAAAATAAAAACAACCTGCGCCACAAGAACTATGTGAAAAATTTGAAAGTGAATGCTGCTGTGCCTTGATAAGAATCAAAAAGATAGATAAAAATCACAAAAAATCATTGACACAATAAAACAGCGCAAAACATGAAATGAATCAGAAATATATACACAAATCATAATAAATTCTGTGGTTATAAAATAAATGTCCAAAACCACCAAAATGAAAAAAAAATATAAAATTTGTGTCCAAATACAAAAAGTGATGAAACCAATAACAAAGAAAGTCCCCTTTTAAACATGCAAACAGTGCTCTAAAAAATTTTTTTTAGGATAAGTGTAATACAGAGAAAAGACTCCACGGAACCACACCTTCCTGTGAATACTGATGTATTCCGCACTCACCAGAGATAAGAATAAATTGCATTTTATGGATACAATATTATCCTCCAATTCCCAGTGAAAATGTCCTCTCCTTAGTCTCCTCCATATACAAAAGCTTCCTTACATCCAACTTCAAAAGGGATTTCCCCTCATAACGATGTGTTACATAGGAAGACAAAGGAGAACCTATAGTGCAATATTGCAAAGACTTTTAATTGAATAAATTAGTGCTCCATCTACTCACATTATAACTTAACATAAGTCGCCAATTGACAAAATCCTCCAAAACAGACTTCCTAATATAAAACGGATTCCAGAAAGTAACCCAAACTGGCAGCACCGGATATGACGTCACATGCTCAACATAGGAAACTGGAAGTACATCTCTGACGCATTTCGCCTCTCCTCCAGGGCGTTATCCAGCATGTTTGCTACAATAGAGTTCAATGGAGAATCTGCTGAAATGCATGACAGTGTATTTTTGCTACGTTTTGCATTTTTATTCTGTCCAGCAAAAATAAAATTCCACTTAACCACCTCCCGTCTGGCCATTGTATATAAACGGCCAGACGGTGGCAGTGCAGGGTTGGGTGGCTGTTTATAAATGACATCCCCGCACCCTGCTTGTGCGTGATTCCTGGGAGCGTGCAGCACCGCGATCCGGTGCCCGCTGTGTCCTCTGGACACAGTGGAACACCAATCGTCGGACAGGACCTCTGTGCAAGGTCCCGATCATGTGGACACTGATTGGCCAATCAGTGATCACATGCAGAGTAGTAAGCAAGATGTCACTTCTGACATCATTGCTTACTACGTGTGAAATCTGTGAATGATCACGGAGGTCACATGGTACAAGGCTATTCACAACAGCCTTGTACCATGTGGCAAGCTGTGACCAATCACAGGTAACACAGTAGTTCTCAATGCCTGAAATGAATGCTTTTAAAAAAGCAATCAGTGTAAAAAAAAAAAAAAATCTTCATCACCCCCCACAAGTAGTACAGTGTCACCATGGTGACACTGTACTACTAGGGTGACAGTATGTAAAAAAAAAAAAAAAACAGAAATAATATAAAAAAAAAAATAAAAGTGTAAAAAAAAAATGTTTAAAAATTATCATTTTTGGTTATAAACTAATTTGGGTTATTTTTTTTTTTTACTAAAAAGATGACTGAATAAATTTTGGCCAAGATTTATGATGAAATACTATTTATTTGCAAAATTTTATAGGAAAAAAACACTTTTTTTCTACATTTTTGGAAATTTCATTTACATAGCAAAAAAAAAAAAAATCCCAGTGGTGAATAAATACCACTAAAATAAAGCTTTATCTGTCTCAAAAAAATGCTAAAAAAGTCATATGGGTACAGTGTTGCATGACCGCGCAATTGTCATTCAAAGTGTGATAGCGCTGAAAGCTGAAAATTGGCCTGGACAGGAAGGGGGTAAAAGTGTCTGGACTGGAAGTGGTTAAAAAAAAAAGGTGCAAAAAATGCGTCAAAAATGCATGTAGAAAAATGCAATACGAACTGCAAAAAGCACTGCAAAATGGACAAAAAGCAAACTGCATAGATGTGAACAGAGCCTTAGGCTACATGCACATGGGTGCATTTGCCTGTGCAGCATAGTGTATTTTCAGTTTGCACAGTGTACATCTGTCTATAGCAGGGGCGGACTGACCATTTGAGCACTCGGGCACTGCCCGAGGGCCCGGGGTCAGTAGGGGGCCCCATGAAATGCTCCAGGTACCTTTTTATGGGTTTTTTTTGAGTGTGTGAAAGGAGTATAGCCCCTGGTCTATATACATACTGTAAATGGGTCAAGGCAGCTATATGCAGCTATTTTGCACAAGGAAGGACGCCTAAGGTGCATTCAGTGCATCGTGCCTGTTCACATGCACTACTTTACACCATGTTCATAAGTTCACATGTCTGCGTACAGCCACCTTCACCCATTCATGTCTATGGGCAGCTGTACACAGCTCTAGGACATCCAGCGCACCAGAAATATGCTGTGTCTTTACGCTGCCCGGGCAAATGCACTCATGTGCATGTAGCCTGTATATGTTTTTGCTCCTTTTTGTTTTAACATGGAATTGTGTGCAATATAATGTATATTTAATGATAATTGATATATGTGTTAATTGGCACCGTGAGAGTCCCTTAAAAACATATATATGTATTTGGTTTTGGCATTCTAGATCTAACAGTAGGTTCACGTACAGCATGTGCGGGTTGGAAATACATGCAAGCTCCCAACCTGCAGACAAAATACACTTAATTCTTAATGGCACCCCATACAATGGCAAAACACCTGCGTTTTCACTAAACCACATAGTACCACAGGAAAATGTGGTTCTGTGTGGCATGTTTTTTTTTTTTTTTTAAAGGGTTGGGGACTTTTTTCCCTGTGGTTTTTGCAGGTAGCAGCTCATACAAATGAATAGACTGCTGTACCCGCAATGTGCGCACACAAAAGCGCATGCACATACTTGCAAATGTGAACCTAGATTTAGAGAAATTGTACAAGCAAGTTTTACATATTTGGCCACCTTTAGAGCAAACACCTTAAAACTGTACTCCAGGAATGATTGTTTATAATGCTTTGCGGAAAGCCTGAATCTTTAACAACGATGTTTCATCTCTCTGTAGGGTGCACAAACTGACCATTGACAATGTGGTGGCCTCAGACGAAGGAGACTATTCCTTCATTCCCAATGGATTTGCCTTCAATCTGTCCGCCAAACTGCACTTTATGGGTGAGTTCAGCTATTGTAGTTCTTCCACTGGAAAACAAATATCTCAAATATCTTTATAAAAGCTTCAGCCTTAGGTGACCATTAAAGTCTACAAAAGATCAAAACTTCCTTCTTCCTAAAGACAGGACTGGAGTAGGGGTGATATCTCCTTACTTAATGTCTTGGAGACCACACTAGAGGTAAGGGAAAATCTCCACACTGGAGCCACAGACAGCATTAAATATTTAACATTGGCTCCAACTTCTTTATCTTCTGTGACTTTATTGTTTTACGTGTCACCTTTCCAGGGATTTCACATGATACATGGGGGCCAATCACAGCACCCTGTACCATGTGACCGGCTCTAGCCAATCACAAATCACTATTATATTGAACTGTCATAACTTAACTCATTCATGACAGTTCAAAGCAAGCTTTGCATTGCAGAGCAAAAATCTTTATTAGCTTCTGCAAAGCAAAGTGGAAACAAAAATCCCTGATCACTCCCCCAGAGTAGTACAATGTTACTATGGTAAAATTGCAGTACTCTGATAAAAGTATTTAAAAAAAATTTAAAACCAAGAATAAAACAAAATAAAAAATACTGTTAAGTACATTAAAATACATTTAGATTAGCACATTAAACCCTTTCATCACCCCTATTAACCCTTTGATGACCCTGTCACCCAGCCAGTGCCATTAATACAGTGTCAGTATAAATAATGTGTCACTGATTACTATATCACTGCCACTAGGGATGTCAAATAGAGTCAGGGCCAATAAGCGCCCCTCCCACCCAGGGTCAGCTAGTGTTAGATTGCCCGCACACTGTCACACTCATGGTATAGATCACTGATCACCGCCATTACTAGTATAGTATTTGTACAGATCAATATATTAATCACAAACAGAATTATACTAGTGACCCCAAAAATGCAATGTTAGCAGAATTGACCCCAATCGCTGCCAGCACTAGCGTTTAGCCCCTCCGCTGTTTTTCATGGAAGACTCGTATCAATTGATTGTGGGCCAAAGCAATTTATACGCACAACAAAACATCGCCGCCCACCCAACTTCAGCTCTTGCCAGACAATTCACATGGAAATCTACCACGGTTTCTGAATTTAAACTTTTTTGGGCCTAACCCTCAACATGGGCATTAGAAAAAAGAATGAATTGCAGTCATATTGGTCCAAAGACCCCATTCATCATATGATATGCCCATGTTATCTGCTGTTACATATATGCCTAACATGGACCAGCAACATACTGGTACATCTCAGGACTTTGAGTGGTTATACCAGCCTTGAATTAGCCTGTGGCTAGTTAGCTGCTGAATCATGTAACCCCCCCCCCTCTTCCGATGCAGCCTTCCACGGCTTTCTTGTGCTCTCCTGTCCCACAGGGGATTCTGAGAATGCAGCCAGCAGTTCCATTGGCTGAGCATAGGGATGATCGGAGACCAGAATGGCTCCGATCATCTCTGTGGTCTAAAAAACCGGAAGCTATGAGCGTTTCATCAATTCTATTTCAGATATTAACAGTGCCATTTTTAAATTGGGAAAGCATCTGATCGCACCGATCTTGGTGTGATCAGATGCTTTAAGAGCAAAGGAGAGATCTTGAAGAGAGTACCTGTCACTGCCTATTGCTATCACAGGAGATATTCACATTCCCTAACAATAAAAGTGATAAAAAAAAGAAAGAAAGGGATAGTGTAGAACTAAAAAATAAAAACCAACATTAAAAATGTAAAAAGAATAATTACCTCCACCCCACCCCTCTTCCCATGCTCATGCGCAGGCATCAGTCATGTGTCGGTATGTAAACAGATTGCACCATGCATGTGAGGTATCACCACGAATGTCAGATCAAAGGCAATAATTCTAGCACTAGATCTCCTGTGTAAATATAAAGTAGTGACCTGTAAAGGCTTTTAATGTGTCACCTATATTAAAAATCTACATAGTTTGTCACCCTTGCACGGGCATGTGCAATTTTAAAGCTCAGGAGAAGTAGCAGAATGTGCTTTGGGGTGTTATTCCACATATAGCCATGGCAGACGTGAACAATAGATCATTTAATTCACAACTTTGTGTAAAAAAATAAAAATAGTAATTTTTAAAAAATTTGAGGCAAAAAAATAAAATCTTCCATGGACTCAACATGCCTCTCAACAAATTCTTTGGGGTGTCTACTTTCCAAAAAGGGGTCATTTGGGGGTGTTTATACTGCCCTGGCATTTTAGCACCACAAATAAATGTGATAGGCAGTCAGAAAGTAAAAGCTGTGTAAATTCCAGTATATATACCATAGTTTGTAGACGCTATAACTTTCACACAAACCAATTAATATACATGTATTGGGATTTGTTTTACCAAAGACATGTAGCAGAATACATTTTGGCCTAAATTTATGGCTAACTTTGAGTTTATTGGAGTTTCTGTAAATGAAAGTAGAAAATATCATTGTTATTTGTGATCCCATTAGAGAGGTCCTGCTCAATTCAGTTCACAGTGACCACATGGAAGGTGAGGTGAGATCTTCCCAATGGAAACAAAGCCAATGCATTTCCCTTAAGAATTCCTGCTTCTTCAGGGTTGAAAAGGATCAAGTATCTGAAACATGTACAGAACAGTAATAGAACCATGGAACCTAACATTCTGGTGGTTCTATCAGAAGATTTTTTGTCTCCTCTCAGTTAGGCAACCAAACCTACATAAGTCCCAGGACTAAGAACAGCTAACAGTAGACCCCAATATATCTTTTAAAACACATTGAGTAACCCAGCACTCCTCACTGAGGAATTATTGAGCAGAAAAACCCGACAGTGGCTGTAACCCTTCTTCCTCTTCTAAAACATGGATTTACAACTCTCTGTGAGTTGAGATGGCTCCTGCCAAGTTCATGTCCTGTTGACCAAACAGTGAGGGGAAAATCTCCCCAGTGGGGACACAGGGAGCAGTAAATTCCCACAGGGGATCCTAGACTTGCCCAAAAATTGGTTGGAGGAAGCATGGAAGACCTCCCCTCTTCAATGTAGTTGTCTGGTTGTAGCAGTGTAAAAGAAACATTTATCCCCTACTCCGGATGCATTTCTGATTTGTTTTTGCTTACAGTTCACACCACGCTCTGTTTCGGTGCAGTTTTGATGCAGTTTGCCATGTTCCAGAACAGTTCTGTGCAGAAAAAAATGCAACATGTTCTACTTTTTTTTCTGCACTGGAAACTGACTGCACTGGTGTGAACCAGGGCCATTGGATTACATGGAAAACACTGTGCATGCATTTTCGAGGCAGAAAAAAACAGCACTGGACTGCTTTTAATGTGAACTAGCCCTAAGGGCCAGCTCACATTACATGCGTTTCAGTTGATTTTTTTCTGCATCCAAAATGCACAGAAAGTAAGTTATATGGTTATCAATGTCATAGTTCACATCAGTTCCAGTGTGTTCTGGATGCAGAAAAAAAAATAGAACAGACTGCACTTTTCCTGCACGGAACTGTACTGGAATGCGGTAAAACACATAAAAAACGCACTGGAACACACCAAAAACGCACTGGAATGCACATGTCCCTATTTAAATTGAAGAAAAAGAGAGGGGGAGAAAATGAACTGGAATGCAGCAAAAACGCACCAGAATGCATAAAAATGTACCAGAACGCACCAAAAACGCACATGCAGAAATGCATCCGGAATGCATTTATATAGTGTGCACTGACCCTAAAAGAGGCTATCCTTGCAGAGTGCTGTCCAACAACCACTATTGAATACTAGTCTAGAATACGAGTGAACATTGGAACATAAAGAACCTTTATTGAGAATATAGAGATCTTTAGCAGCTTCAAGAATCAATCACTTTCCTCATCATGGCTATAACAATAACTGAAGAGCTGTATGCACAATATATATATATATATATATATATACACTGTGTGTGTGTGTATATATATATATATATATATATACACTGTATGTATGTGTATATATATATATATATATATATATAATATATACATACACTGTATATTATATATTCTGACAAATTAATGTGTCAAATATTATTAGGAAAAAAACAATGCATCTTTATGAATGTGATCATACATATTTCATAACACTTATTACACGGACATACAGAATATAAATGATGGAACGTCACCAATGAACTGTCACACAGATTATACGCATCAATGGGTAAAATAATTGCACTACATGTTTTTACATGTAACAATTAACTGAACAAAGAAATACGATTTTATAAAATATTAACACATACAAATAGAATCATTTTTATGTTTGATCTAAAACAACATTGAAAAGACTGCACATTCCCTTTAATGTATTTGTAAGGATACTGAGCATACAAGCAAACACACAGAAAATATACAAACTCTGTTAGTGGGTCAATGGTACCGGACGATTTTTGTGGTCCCTCCCCTTTGGGCATGTTAGAAAATTCTTGAAAAACTAGATTTTCCACTCAATGATGGTCAAATCGTACGATCGTTTTTCCAAAAGAAATATGCACATGAGCCGTGACCTGGAAGGAACAGAGGTTTCACCTGTTATATGGGGTGAACTTTATGACTTGGTCAGCCGATTTTTGAAATCATTGATGGCACCATCAGATTACCGACGATTGACGTTTTAGATTTTCGGACAAAAAATAGTTTGGAATTCGACCCATGTATGGCCTGCATAAGGCTAGCTCTGCTAGGATTTGAACACAGGACCTGGAGCTGCAAGGCAAGAGGTCTATCTATCTAAAGGGGCATATACTGGTTGTGTGCTTTATTTTTTTGATCAGGCCCTGATTTTTAAAGAATTTTTTTTTTTTCAGGTAAATATTCTTTGCTCTGTTGTTGTGAAAAGACTGTTGTCTAGAGACCCCAGTAGCTCAAGCAGAAAGTTAAACACTCAAATGAATGAGTCAGAGCATTGGCTCATTTATTTTCAGAGCTCCTCGGGGTGAATCTATTGTTTATATGTGTAGATGTGTGGGTAAATATATTTTTTTTAGGGACACTCGGAGAGAGGAGAAGTCATTGTGTGGAGGAAGAACTAGAAGAAGCACTGGAAAAATATTTTTGCATCACTATTATCTTGAGGGTTTCACAGACGCTGGAAGAGACTTTTGGACTCAAATGAATGAGTTAGAGCATTGGCTCATTTATTATCAGAGCTCCTCGGGGGGAATCTATTGTTTTTTTAAATCCCAACTCTGGGCTCCATGCCCCCATCCTATCAGTGCACCCTCTTAGCAGAATTTCATGCACTATCTGTGGGCAGGCCTGGATGATGCAGAGAGTGACACTGATATAATGACATTAGCTCCTCTCTTTGCATCAATAGACTGTGAGTACACACACTGTGCCTAGGGGGCGGGGCCATGACGCCCTGCACTTAGTCTTCCAGGTTGAGTGATACTGGGCATCATTCATTCTGGAAGACTGAGGACATCGTTTGGTGAAGAAAAGGTACTACAGGGCAGTTTAGACAGCCCAAAGAAAAAATCGGCCTGAATTTAAAATGAATACTGCTAAATTAGATTTCTGGGGACATCTTATATGGATGACTCTCAGTAGGCTCTTGGAACTAATCCACGCAAGTCCAAATTATAAACTGACTTGGAACTTTGTGGTGGGATTATATCTTCTGCTTGGCCTGGAAATGTCTTGGAGCCTCCCAGCAGGAGCTTCACTTTGTATCCTTAATGCCTAATTTTATTGTACATATGAATGAATACAAAGCTGGTTGTGATTACACACGTTTCATAATTCATTTCTTCTTTCTCTTTTCTTTTTCCTCTGTCAGAGGTGAAGATTGACTTCGTCCCCAGACAAGGTTAGTGACATCACAAATGTACTGAGCTGTGTGTAAGTCCCTATGTCATAGCCTGAGGAACAAATGAATGGAAAAGCATTAACCTGAGTGGGATCAAAGTTTGTTGGGTAGAACAGCATTTCCCAATCTTTATTTCAGTCGTGGCACCATTAACCCTATGCAGAATCTCAAGGCACCCCAATCTAAAATGTACAAAATGTAAATGTTGTTTATCAATAGGAAAGCAAATTAACTTTGCATTAGAAGCCCCTCTTCCCATCAGACTCCCCCATCCCAACACATCTGACCTCCATTCACATCAGAGTGCCCCCATCATTTCTGAGGTCCCCCCATCACATCAGGGTCCCTCTTCATATGAGAGCCTCCCCATCACATCAGAGTCTACCTTCATATAAGAGGTTCCCCCACCACATCAGAGCCCACCTTCATATAAGAGGTCCCCCATCACATCAGAGCCCACCTTCATATAAGAGGTCCCCCCATCACATCAGAGTCCCTCCTTCATATAAGAGGTCCCCCCATCACATCAGAGTCCCCCCTTCATATAAGAGGTCCCCTCATCACATCAGAGCCCCCCTTCATATAAGAGGTCCCCCCATCACATCAGGGTCCCCCTTCATATATGTGCCCCCTATGACATCAGGGTCCCCCTTCACATAAGTGCCCCCCATCACATCAGGGTCCCCCTTCATATAAGTGCCCCCCCATCACATCAGAACCCACCTTCATATAAGAGGTCCCCCCATCACATCAGAGTCCCCCCTTCATATAAGAGGTCCCCCCATCACATCAGAGTCCCCCCTTCTTATAAGAGGTTCTCCCATCACATCAGAGTCCCCCTTCATATAAGAGGTCCACCCATCACATCAGAGTTCCCCTCTTCATATAAGAGGTCCCCCCATCACATCAGAGTCCCCCCTTCATATAAGAGGCCCCCCCATCACATCATAGTCCCCCCTTCATATAAGAGGTCCCCCATCACATCATAGTCCCCCCTTCATATAGGATGTCCCATCATCACATCAGAGTCCCCCTTACAGCAAAGTCCCACCTTCATGTCAGAGACCTCATGTCATCTCTGATCCAGGGCAAACTGGGTCTCATTCACCATGGAGGAACCCAAATGGCACCCAAGGGTGCAGCGGCACCCTGGTTGAGAAACACTGGGCTGCAGGCACAGGGAGGGACAATCAGAGTTCAGAGAGGGTATGCAGGAAGGTGGATTTTTGTACTTGGTTGCCATGATAACTGTAAATAACTAAGGGACTAATTTATAATGGAGAGCGGATACTTGCTGCTGCTTCATTTTTCCTTTTTTTCCTAAAATGCATTGTAAAGCGAGGTGCCTGCAGAGCCCTTTGGGCCGTTCTCGGCATAATGCTGCAAAGAACACTAGGAGACTAGGACTAGGAGAATAGACCAGTCACTTTTTTCACATTCTTAAAAAATATACCTATGGTAAGCACACCGCTGTGCCTTCTAATGTGCTGGAGGAGTTCTGCTTTAAAAAGCATCAGTAGGAAGGATTTTTTTCAGTGTTCAAAATGAGTCATTGGATTTATCTTATTAGATCTTTGATGTGCTTTTAAGTGGGTAATAATCACTCCAGGATTCCATTATGACTTTGGTCACACCAAATCCGACTTTGAAATCGTGCAACTTCACTTGAATTTGTATGATTTCAAAGTCGCATGTCAGTCGACTTCAGGTGCGACTTGGAAGACATCTGTGTGCCTTCAGGAACAGATGTCTTGAACTTTCAAAAGGTAGTGCATGTAGTACTTTCCATATCGGTGCGACTTAGACAGAGTCAGACTCGCACCAATATGACCACTTCCATTGCAGACAATAGGGTGCGACTTGTCATGCGATTTGAAACGATCAATTCATACCGGTGTGATTAGAAACTTTGTGTAAATGTATTTTTATTTTTTTTGTTTTCTTGTTTATAACTATATATTCCTCTGTAGAGACAACAGCTGTTTGGGCGTGCTAAGCTCAAGTGCACACACTATATTGCCAAAACTATTGGGACGCCTGCCTTTGCACGCACACGAACTGTAATGGAATCCCAGTCTTAGTCCGTAGGGTTCAATATTGAGTTTGCAGCTATAACAGCTTCAACTCTTCTGGGAAGGCCGTCCACAAGGTTTAGGAGGGTGTCTATGGGAAGGTTTGACCATTCTTCCAGAAGAGCATTTGTGAGGTCAGGCACTGATGTCGGACGAGAAGGCTTGGCTCACAGTCTCCGCTCTAATTCATCCCAAAGGTGTTCTATCGGTTTGAGGTCAGGACTCTGCAGGCCAGTCAAGTTCCTCCACCCCAAACTCACTCGTCCATGTCTTTATGGACCTTGCTTTGTGCACTGGTGCGCAGTCATGTTGGAAGAGGAAGGGGCCATCCCCAAACTGATCCCACAAAGTTGGGATCATGAAACTGTCCATAATGTCTTAGTATGCTGATGCCTTAAGAGTTCCCTTAGCTGAAACTAAGCGGCCAAGCCCAACCCCTGAAAAACAACCCCACACCATAGTCCCCCCCTCCACCAAACTTTACACTTGGCACAATGCAGTCAGGCAAGTACTGTTCTCCTGGCAACCGCCAAACCCAGACATGTCCATTGGATTGCTAGACAGAGAAGTGTGATTTGTCACCCAGAGAACACATCTCCACTGCTCTAGAGTCCAGTGGCGGCGTGCTTTACACCACGGCACCCGACGCTTTGCATTGTACTTGGTGATGTAAGGCTTGGATGCAGCTGCTCGGCCTTGGAAACCCTATTCCATGAAGCTTTCTACGCACTGTTGTTGTGTTAATCTGAAGGCCACACCAAGTTTGGAGGTATTTAACTATTGACTCTGCAGACAGTTGGTGACTTCTGCGTACTGTGCACTTCAGCAAGTGCTAAAACTGCTCTGTCATTTTACGTGGCCTACTACTTGGTGGCTGAGTTGCTATTGTGCCCAGTTGCTTCCACTTTGTTATAATACCACTAACAGTTGACTGTGGAATATTTAGTAGCCAGGAAATGTCACGGATGGACTTATTGCACAGGTGGCAACCTATCACGGTACCACGCTTGAATTCACTGAGCTCCTGAGAGAGACCCATTCTTTCACGAATGTTTGTAGAAGCAGTCTGCATGCCTAGGTGCTTGATTTTATACACCTGTGGCCATGGAGGGGATTGTAATACCTGAATCCAATGATTTGGGGGGGTGTTCCAATACTTTTGGCAATAGTGTGTGTGTGTGAATATCTGACTAGAGTCTATCAATATATTGTAATGTTTCTGGAGCTTGTGCACCAATTGTCTGTACTGTGTGACATTTTTCAATAAACACTTGATTAAAAAAAGAAACCGCATCAGCATGGCGCGAGTAAGGCCCTACCACTGCTATATAAATCAGCCCTTAGTTTGCTGCTGTATGTTTTATCACTGATCTTACTGTATGATAGTTCACATGTGTCTGATCATGCAATTGAACATTTATTTCCTCCCACAGAGCCACCAAAGATTAAACTGGACTGCTCTTCTGGAAATGCTGACACCATCATTGTGGTTGCTGGCAATAAACTGCGTCTGGATGTCCCTATCACCGGAGATCCGGCACCAACTGTGATCTGGAGCAAAGGAGACAAGGTAATAACTGGCTGTTTTCCTGCCTACGTAAAGTGGACCAATGGTAATGATTTATAAAGAAATCTGGAGGAAAAATGGTTTCCATTTCATCCAGTCAGATGATCTTCAGGTAGTCCAGCTGGGTTTTAGCGTTTGCTCAGACTCCAGTCCTGTCTCAGATTCTGATAAAAGTCTCCGCTTGTCTAAAAGCTGGCATTAATGCAACCATTTTATTACTTATTTCTAAGTTACAATAACACAAAAGAAGCATTGTATACTGAAAAGTGGTTTAGGAAAGATGGACGATAATATTCATCTTTAAAGCGGAGTTCCAGTTGAATAAACAAAAATAAAAGTCAGCAGCTAGAAAAACTGTACCTGCTGACTTTTAAAATACAGCCACTTACCTGTTCCTCGGTGTCCTCACCACCGCTGGTTTCACCGGCCGTCTTCTCTCCCCGGAATCTTCAATGTGGGCACCCGGCTGTGATAGCTTGCGGCTTCACAGCTGGGTGCCCACTGTGCATGCGCGAGAAGAGCTGCGCTTTGTGAATGACCCTGTAGTCTTCTGGGACCTGTCACGTGTCCCAGAAGACTATGAGGAGGGAGGACAACTTACACTTCCAAGCGCCTTGCAGCGGTAGTGGGAGTAGGTACCTGTCAAATTCGGGTCCCCCCTGCTCCCCAAAGGAGCCAATCCTTAATGGGGAGCGGGGGACAAGGGCTTGAAAGTGGAACTTCCCCTTCTGAGTGAAGCTCCACTTTAATCATAGCTATCTAACACCGGCCTCTCATGCTATACTATCATAGCAATTAATAATATTGCAGCAGGATACAGCAGTCAAAACAATGAAGGTTAATTTCTGGTTGATTACTACTGCTTTAATGTAAAACTCAGTTTATTAAGTCAAGAAATGAAATGCAATGCTTCAAAATAAACGTACAATGAAGCATACCTGTAGGTAAAATGAATATCTGCTAAATGTGCACTGTTTCGAAGACATTCACTCTTTTGGCAGTCGGTGCATGTGCTCTAAATTAATGGCACGGGTATGCAATATTTTTTTCTTTTTTTTGAAGCCGCAGTTTACTAAAGTGTATTTATAGCTCAAACATTTTAGTTTTTGATAGGCAATCCCATGTTTATGGGTATCTTTAGGACCAGGGGCGGACTGACCATTTGGAAACTCGGGCATTGCCCGAGGGCCCAGGGTCAGTAGGGGGCCCCATGAGATGCCACTGGTACCTTTTTCATAGGCTTTTTTGAGTTTGGGCAAGGACACAGGGGCCCCATGATCCCCTATTGCCCGGGGTCCCCATGAGTTGTCAGTCCGCCCCTGTTTAGGACTTTCCGCCCCAGAGATAATTATCACCCAGACAAATAGGGTGAATCTACCCACACTGACTGCAATTAAAACTTGACATAAAGTCTAACCCTTCACTACTCTTAAAGTTTAATCTGCTTATATTTTGCCTTTCATGGTTCTTCCTGTCCCCATCATCAACATGCTAATGAAATGTTTAAATAAAACCTTTCAATTTGCATAAAAAAAATTTATTTTAGACCTAATATTATCATCACTGGTAATGCCCACATGTGATGTTGAGCTTCCAAGAACTGAAATCCAGTGAAAGGCAAGGACCAGAGACAGTCAGGTTGGGGAAGGAAGAACTAGATGATACTGGATGTCCTCCATTTAGGAAATGAGGCAGGCTTTATCTGCAGTTTCTAATGCACACTGTTGGAAACTCTCAGTGTGCAGTGAAATCGGGGTATGCAATTTCAGTAGAGGAGAGGAGCCGGTACGACTGTGCAAGACTAAAGGGAAGGCGGAAGCTCAGTAAGAAGTCATGGATCACCTGACAAATAATCTATATCTGCATATCCCATGTCCCCTCCCCCGATATCAATCCTTCCCTGCATCTCAGCTCTATTTTCCACAATCAGGTCATGCAGCAGAAACCTGTCAGCACTGACAATGAGTCTGGGGTGGAGATGAACGAGGATATGGATGTAAGTGGAGGCACGCTAATGTCTCTCCAGTGCTTGGAACTGCGAGTAACAATGTCACATTTACTTATCCCACTTGTGAACTTTCCTTGGTGTGATCACGCACAACTTACCATCACTTTTGTATTTCTCATTGACTTTATGTATGTGTGTGTGTGTGGGGGGGCAGCACAAAGAATATTTCTAACTCAGCATGTCACCTATGTATTGGTAACGGTTTTATATAGATTTGGCTATCATGCAGCCTATAGTTCATTGGGAATAAGTGACCTCAGAATATCATGCATAGCTCCTACTTCCTACCAACTTATTTTGTTTTTGGAAAAAAGGGGAAGAGTTTACAATTCTGTGTTTTTATTTATTATCTGTGACCCCACAAGGGAGATTTTTCTTAATAATTTATGTACCTGACATACTGGCCAATAAAATAATTCTTGGATGTTTTAAATCTGAAGTCTAGTCTGCTAATATGCTGCTTTCTTTGGTTTCCTGATGTAAAATACATATTTTGTATAGAATTAAAATGCACATTAAATCTGAACCCTGGTAGGTTCAAGGGGTCTAGTTATAAAACATTTGTTGCATGAATGTCAAAAGCATTTGTGGAAGTTGGGTGAAATGTCCCCGTATTTTTTCTAAGAGATTGATTCCTGGATCATCCACACCATCTAGTGGCCAAAATGTGGTATAGTTTTTTTTCATTGACGTATTTCAGAAAACTATACCGCATTTTGGCCCCTAGATGGAGCTGATGATACACACATTAATCCCATGGAATTTGTGCAATGAATGTTTTATAGATAGACCCCACAGTTTAGCCAGTTCACACCTAAACACTGAAAACTCTGGGGGGGGGGGAGTTGCGTGTAAAATAAAAATGAAATTCTGGCAAATCTTCCTCGCTGGTGCTGTGCACTGCAGTGCCTCTTCACCACAGGATGTACTCAGTCTTCTGGGCTGAGTGACACCCGCTGAAGACTGGACGACTGAGGACATACTGCAAATCATGGTCATCATCACAGTGCCTACATGACTGGCCTGAAGAAATTTGAAAAAGGCAAAAATAAGGGGGAAAAAAACGCCAAAAAAAAAAATTGTTGGGGCTTCAGAGGATGAGGCTGAGGATAGAGTTAGACCATGGAACATTTTTGTGCATCTATAAACAGCAAAGGAAACCTGCATTGGGAAAAACACGAGCACTGCTGTTGAGTGATAGTCCTGTCTGGGCTTCGGCCGCACCACTTAGCAGCCTGAGTGTACTCCTCTCCTCCCACCACTGTAGCTGTTAAAAGTCATTGTGGAGGGAAAGAGAAATGCCAGGGTGGACTCCTCTTCTGTATGTATTCTGTATGTACTCCCCTACCCGCTGCTGCTGTTCAATCACAGCAGGGAAGAGGGTGGGAGCTACTGCAGGTCTACAGGGGGAGCGGGAGCTGCCCAACCTTTCATTTTGACAAGCGGCTCATCACTTTATAACAAGAAGAGTTGGGCAGCTCCTGCCCTCAGTGCAGACCTTCCGTGCCTCCAGTCCTCTCCCCTGCTCTGAGTTTAACACCAGTGGTGGTGGCAGGCGGCAGGTGAGTATAACAGAGCAGGAGGCCTCCCTGCCACTCCTCCCACCCCCTGCAATGCTGTGTTAAGGTATTACTGTGAAGGGGAAAGAATATGGGGGGGGGCTGTGATGTGAGAGGGGGGAGTTATGCTATGGGGGGGCTGTAATGTAAGGGGGGGGAGTTGTGAGATGGGAAGTTGTGATGTCAGAGGAGGGAGTTGTTGATATGGGGGGGGGGCTGTGATGTGAGAGGGGGGAGCTGTGAGAGGGAAAGTTGTGATGTGAGAGGGGGGAACTGTGATATGAAGGGGGTTTGATGTGAGAGAGTGGAGCTGTGATGGGGGCAACTGTGATATGGGAGGCTGTGATGTGAGAGGGGGAAGCTGTGCTATTGGGAGGGGCTGTGCTGTGAGAAGGGGGAGCTGTGATATGGGAGTACTGTAATGTGAGAAGGGGGGCTGTGATGTGATAGAGGGGAGCTGTGATATGGGGGGGGGGCTGTGATGTGAGAGGGGATTTGTGATATGGGGGGGGGGGTGCTGTGATATGGGGGGTTGTGATGTGAGAGGGGGGAGCTGTGATATGATGGGGCTGTGATGTGAGAGGGGATTTGTGATGTGGGGGGGAGGGCTGTGATATGGGGGGTTGTGATGTGAGAGGGGGGAGCTGTGATGTGAGAGGGGATTTGTGATATGGGGGTCTGTGATACGGGGGTTGTGATGTGAGTGGGAGAAGCTGTGATGTGAGAGGGGGGAGCTGTGATATGGGGGGCTGTGATATGGGAGGCTGTGATGTGAGAGGGGAGAGCTGTGATATGGGGGGCTGTGATGTGAGAGGGGGCATTTGTATAGGGGGCTGTGATGTGAGAGGAGGGAGCTGTGATATAAAGAGTCTGTGATGTGTGGAGAAGGGCTGTGATGTCAGGTGGGGTGAAGCTGTAATATGGGGGGTTGTGATTGCAAGGGTGACTGTGAAGTAAGGGAGGCTGTGATGTGAGGGGAGGGTCTGTGATATGGGAGGCTGTGATGTTAAGAGAGGGGGGAGCTGTGATATGGGAGGCTGTGATGTGAGAGGGGGGAGCTGTGATATGGGAGGCTGTGATGTGAGAGGGGGGAGCTGTGATATGGGGGGCTGTGATGTGAGAGGGGGCATTTGTATAGGGGGCTGTGATGTGAGAGGAGGGAGCTGTGATATAAAGAGTCTGTGATGTGTGGAGGAGGGCTGCGATGTCAGGTGGGGTGGAGCTGTGATATGGGGAACTGTGAAGTAAGGGAGGCTGTGAGGGGAGGGTCTGTGATTGCAAGGGGGGCTGTGATGTAACCAGGGCTGTAATGTTGGGGGGACTATGATGTGGGGGGGGGGGGGCTCTGATGGGGGGGGTGATGTGAAAGGGGGTTGTGATGTGAATGGGGGCCTGTGATTATAAGGGGGGCTGTGATGTAAGCGGGGTTGTAATGTTGGGGGCTATGATGTGGGGGGAGGGCTGTGATGTGCAAGGGGGTTGTGATGTAGGGG